GATAATCACATGACTATCACACCCATATCACACCAAATCGTGTTGATATAAGCGATAATGTGATAATTGTGTGATAATCACATGATTATCACACCCATATCACACCAAATCGTGTTGATATAAGCGATAATGTGATAATTGTGTGATAATCACATGATTATCACACCCATATCACATGATTATCACACCTATATCACACCCAAATCGTGTTGATATAAGCGATAATGTGATAATTGTGTGATAATCACATGATTATCACACCCATATCACATGATTATCATACCTAGTCTAATCCTAACCTATCGAAACCATCCGAAATCGTTGTGATAATGTCTAACATAACCCATTGAAACCAAGATCAAGTCGAGTGACATTGATATCACATGATTATCACAACTAATCGATTAAAAACATGTTCAATACGAGTAATTGCGAAAGATACATTGAATAAACTTCTTCTTGCTGTTCGATTGTTGCATGCAATAGCTTCTCTTTGATCGATTATGGTTCATGTGTTCTTGGTCGATCACTGTTGTTTTGCGATTTGATATTATGACTTCTAAGTCTCCTTAAATTGTTAACCGTTTATTAGATAATGATAATCATGATCGTGTAATCGTGTTAAAAGATTTTATGATATCATTTCCATTATTACCCTTTAATATTTTTTGAATCTTTTTATATTTCAATTTTAAAAATCTTTTAATTTTTTTTATCACAATATGAGGTTATTGGGTTGTTCTCGCATTCTCGTAAATCACAAGGGTTCTCGTTTGAACCCTTCCATATATATATATATATATATATAGAGAGAGAGAGAGAGAGAGAGAGAGAGTTTATTTCAAATACAACATGTTGCATTTGTACAACCAATGCAACCCAATAAATTAAGATATTTATAAAAATGGTGAGAGCTTATTTATTATGATTTGAATATTTATGGAAGCTGAATATGGTTAATTAATTATAATCAATACTTTATATTAAGAAACAATCACAACTTCTATGAAATTACATATTAATCAAATGAAATGGATGGTTGAGATTGAGTTGTATTGGTTGCACAAATGTCATGGGTTGTATAATAACCAACCCCTCTCTCTCTCTCTCTATATATATAGATTAATTAGATGATAGTTGAATGATAATCAAATTGTTATTAAATTGATTCAATTTTTTATTGGATTCTACTGTCTTCTAAGAACCGATAGATTAAATTTAAATGTTATAATTTTAGATCTGATCCAATTAAATTATAATTAAATATCAAATCATTGATGGACAATTTTAATTGAATGGATGAATTTCACGGAAATTAAATTTCAAAGAGATGAAATTGTACGATTCTGCAAACTCTTTAATGAAGTGACCAAAATAACAGGCGGAGAGAGTTGAGGGACCAAAAAAGCTTATTGTTGCCCCAAACACAGAGGCTGGTTGACGATGCTTTAAACCCGGTCGCATCAACATCGCCGGAATCAGGTTATTCCTCCTATTTCTTCTTCCAATTGATATTTTGAAGTATCCACACAACCCGATAAACCCACAAAAGATTCACGATTTATGTTATTCATCAGCATATAACACTGTATAGATCTATGCAGTCGTTATTGCTCAACATTCATATAGCGATCTAACTGGAAAACAGCTGATCAGCATCTGAGATAATTAGGTAAATCTTTTGGTTTCTACTCTTTTTGTTCCCTTGGTAATTAATGCATAATTTTGAAGAAAACCCATGTTCCAATGTTTTTCTCAGATGGGTATTTAGTGCAATGGATGAAAAGTGCAATGCTTTTTGATTTCCCATTGTTTTAGTTCATCTGATTTGCATTCTAAAATGTGTGTGAAATTAGTGTCGTTATCTTTCTGGATCTCTTTTTTAGAACATTTATAACTAGTCTTTGTACTTGATTTCAGTCTCTGGAGTGAACTTCACTTGCAAATACCATAGATTTAAGTGATCCCCAAACTTTCTTATTTCAAATGTGTTTTTGATCTTTGTATGTGACTGTGATTTACTCTTCTTTCAGGCTGGTCTTTTTCAGGTGACTGATAAGGATTTGTTAATTGATAACTTATAGCTGTAATATTATGGATGATGAAGAAGAAAAACTAGACAATATAGAACTTTCTGGGGGAGGCGATTCATTCAGCAATGTAGATTTAAAAGTGGAAACATCTGATTCAGAACATATCAGTACTGTTGACATTAGCATTGCAGATGTTGTAGGAAGCTATTCTAAGGAGGGAGGGGTTGATTCTGAAAGTAGATATGTGGATGATGGTATGTTTGAGCAGGTATCATTAGATAAAGAAAAAGAGAAGATTGTTCGGGATTCTGAGAGTGGTAATGCTGGGGATTTGGATAATCTTAGGAGCTCATCTGGTGGAAATGAGGAGACATTTGGAGTTTCGGTTAAAGGCAGTACAGTTGACTCTGATTCTTCACCAGCTGTTGTTCAAGTACATCAGGATGGTAATGCCTCAAATCGTGGATCAGGGGGACTATCACCTTATCTCTCTGAGCAATCATCTACTCGAACTAGTTATGATTCCCCCTTGTATGCATATGGGGATGGCGGACACTCCCCAATTGGTTCACCCCGAAAGCCTAAGCCAAAACCCGTGCCAAATGTTTCACCAGAGCTCTTGCATTTGGTGGATTCTGTTATCATGGGGAAGCCTGAAAGCATGGACAGTCTGAAGAATATTGTGAGCGGAGTAGAAAGCTTCGGTAATGGACAAGAGGCAGAGAGCATTGCATTATTGGTGGTTGATTCACTTCTTGCAACGATGGGTGGTGTTGAATCTTTTGAGGAAGAAGAGGATAACAACCCACCTAGTGTGATGTTGAACTCCAGGGCTGCCGTAGTATCAGGTGAGCTTATTCCATGGCTTCCTTGGTTAGCAGATACCGTGGGTTTCATGTCCCCTAGGACACGGATGGTCCGTGGATTGCTTGCTATATTGCGAGCTTGTACAAGAAACAGAGCTATGTGCTGTTCGGCAGGTTTGTTGGGGGCTCTTTTGCGGTCAGCTGAGAAGATTTTTGTTGATGATGCTGATTCAACTAAGCAGTTGCGATGGGATGGAACTCCTTTATGCTCCTGCATCCAATACTTAGCTGGACATTCCCTTAGTGTAACAGATTTGAAAAGGTGGTTTTTCACAATTACAAAAACAATACACACTTCATGGGCACCTCGTTTAATGCTTTCGTTGGAGAAGGCACTGGGCAGCAAAGAGTCAAGGGGTCCAGTATCTTCATTTGAATTCGATGGTGAAAGTTCTGGTTTGCTTGGTCCAGGGGAGAGCCGTTGGCCCTTTCCTAATGGGTATGCATTTGCAACATGGATCTATATTGAATCGTTTGCGGACACCTTAAACACAGCTACTGCTGCTGCAGCAATTGCTGCAGCAGCAGCAGCTAAATCCGGAAAATCATCAGCTGTATCTGCTGCTGCTGCTGCTAGTGCGCTAGCAGGTGAAGGCATGGCACACATGCCTCGACTTTTCAGCTTCTTATCTGCTGATAATCAGGGTATGGAGGCATATTTTCATGCTCAATTTTTGGTGGTTGAAAGTGGTAGTGGGAAAGGTAGGAAGGCTTCTTTGCATTTTACCCATGCATTTAAGCCACAATGTTGGTATTTTGTTGGTCTTGAGCATACTTCCAAGCAAGGGTTACTTGGTAAGGCAGAGAGTGAACTGAGATTGTACATTGATGGAACTTTGTATGAAAGTCGTCCTTTTGAATTCCCTCGAATATCCAAGCCACTTGCATTTTGCTGCATTGGAACGAACCCACCCCCAACAATGGCCGGTTTACAGAGACGCCGTCGCCAATGTCCTTTGTTTGCTGAGATGGGACCTGTATATATCTTTAAAGAACCAATTGGTCCAGAGAGGATGGCTCAGTTGGCTTCTAGAGGAGGAGACGCACTCCCTTCATTTGGTAATGCTGCAGGATCACCATGGTTGGCAACATTTGCTCATGTGCAAAATGTTTCAGAAGAAAGTGCACGTTTAGATGCAGAAATAGCAGGATACCTTCACCTTCTATATCATCCTAGTCTACTAAGTGGTCGATTCTGTCCAGATGCTTCTCCTTCTGGCGCTGCAGGTTTGATAGATTTCTTACATTTTCAAGTACAGTTGAATGAGATGTATCATGTTTTCGTTCTGCAGTATATATCATTCTATAATTTCCATGCCTAAATTTTTTCATATCCAACCAATACCCTTGACTTACGTCTCTTTTCACCTTTTGAGGCTCCATAGAAGGTGTTTTTCTTTTCAGCCCCCTAAATTTCTTATTAAATTTCAGTCCTGACATGTAGTGTCATTTAAGTTAATCCCTCCGTCCTAAAATGAATGCAACGTTTGACTACGCATATGTTTTAATAGGAGTATTTGGTAATTTGTTGCATTTAAATTACCCCTCAATATGACAAGATTGCATGTGTGAACCGACTAAGGCATCCATGCGTAGCTGGATAAGTTTTCTGTAGTGTGAATTTTTTTTCTTATTATAGCGCACGCCAAAAGATATACGAGCTTTGTCATGGTCGTGCATACCCAATTTGGAAAACCTGCAGAAATCTGCCGTTGCAAGATAAAGGAATCTTGTGGATGAAAATTAAAGCCATTCATATTTTGTAATGATTACCGAGGGGCAGAGATAATTTTGGATTGGAACTTTGCCTTAAAGAGGAATATTGCATTAATTGTAAGAGACCTCATGAAGGGAATATTTGCATTTGGTTTGGGACAGAGGGAGTATTTCTATTGGAAGTACTGTTTACGTTTGTGAAGTAAAGGTAAAAAATTGATAAGTACATTCAGTTATAGGTTTGAATTACAAAAACGCATAAGTGGATGAAAAGGAGGAAGTAACTCTTTCAAATGCTTAAATTCTTGCTTAAAAGTTATCTACGTATGATTGAGATTATGTTTTGGTCCCTTAAATAATACTTGCTTATATTTCAGGGATGCTCCGACGACCTGCTGAAGTTCTTGGGCAGGTACATGTGGCTACAAGGATGCGGCCTGCAGAAGCTTTGTGGGCTTTGGCATATGGAGGTTCAATGTCTTTGCTTCCATTCGTAGTAAGCAAGGTTGATAATGATAGCTTGGAACCAACAAGGGGAGATCTTACTCTGTCACTGGCCACAACGGCTCTTGCTGCCCCAATATTTAGGATTATATCACTTGCAATCCAACATCCGGGCAACAATAATGAGCTGTGTCGTACTAAAGGGCCAGAAGTTTTGTCAAAAATTTTAACCTATCTTCTACAAACTTTATCTTCACTTGATGTTACCAAGCATGGAGTGGCTGATGAGGAAATTGTAGCAGCTATTGTCTCTTTATGTCAATCTCAGAAGAATAATTATGCACTTAAAGTGCAGCTTTTCAGTACGCTGTTGCTGGATTTGAAAATTTGGAGTTTATGCAGCTATGGCTTACAGAAGAAACTTTTATCGTCCCTAGCAGATATGGTTTTCACCGAGTCATCTGTGATGCGTGATGCTAAAGCTATTCAAACTCTTCTTGATGGCTGCAGGAGATGCTATTGGACTATTCGTGAAAAAGATTCAGTGAATACATTTTCTCTTAATGGAGCTGCACGTCCGGTTGGAGAAGTGAATGCTTTAGTTGATGAGCTTCTAGTGCTTATTGAACTTCTTGTGGTGGCCGCTCCTTCTTCAATGGCTGTGGATGATATTCGTTCTTTACTTGGCTTCTTGGTTGATTCTCCTCAACCAAATCAGGTAGTACTATAGTGCATTATATAGTTAGAAAACAATAATACCAAGTGGCCTTTGGATTGCATCAGTTGATCTCTCTAACGTTTAGGTAGTGAGTTCTACCCTCTTTAGAGACACCATATATCAGTTCATTGGTCGTTTTAAAAAGGCATGATGTGTGGTTGATGCCTTCTTCTAGTGATTTCTCATATTACTAGTATCATTTTTATCATCCATGTTAGAGCATCCTCAATGGTGGACTTTTTCATTGAAGTTTTATTGAAGCTTTTTTTCGAAAAAAAGGGGATCCACAAGCAAAAAGGTGAATTTTTTTGTCAGGAGCTTTTTCACTATTTTATTAGGCCAAAAAGCTGGATGCTCTTACCGCATTCTGACATTGAAACAGAGAAAAGGAAATCCTTTCTTATTTCGGCAAGCAACATGTGCTATAGGAGAAAAAAATATAGTAGATATAGCTATGCCTGAGTCATTTCTAAAAAAATCAATCGGTATCACCTACGTTGATCTTTTATTGTTTTTCATTTTGTCTTCTGTGCCATTTCTCCTTGATTATTTCATCCAACATGTTATGACATTTGATCTCTTTTCAGGTCGCAAGGGCGTTGCACCTGCTATATAGGTTGGTGGTACAACCAAATACTTCTAGAGCTCAAACGTTTTCAGAGGCATTCATATCTTGTGGTGGCATAGAAGCACTTCTTGTCCTATTGCAGCGGGAAGCAAAAGCCGGAGATTATGACGTACCAGACCCTTTGGTCAATAATGATGAAGCTGTGACATCCCCAGGAGCTAAAGCCAACGGTGGTGGTGGTTTGGAAAATAGCAAAACCGATGATGTTGTGTCCTTGGATAGAAATGAATTGTCATCTCATGAACCTCAGACTCGTACTAGTGCCAATACCATTCCCATAGGCTCTAATATGGAAAGCAAGGAATCAGTTTCTGAGAGTCAGTTTAAAAAGATTTTGGGTGGTATAAATTTTTCTATCAGTGCCGATAATGCAAGGAACAATGTCTACAATGTTGACAACAGTGACGGTATTGTTGTTGCTATAATTGGCCTGTTTGGAGCTTTAGTCATCTCTGGGCATCTCAAATCTGGATCCCATACTCCAGATATGACACGCAACATTCATGGTTTGCTTGAGGGTGGGGGTAGTATGTTTGAAGATAAAGTTTCACTTCTACGTTATGCTTTGCAAAAGGCTTTCCAGGCAGCACCAAACAGGCTTATGACTGGCAACGCTTACATGGCTTTATTGAGCGCCTCGGTATGGCATATTCTTTTCATTTTGCCATGATGAATGTCATCAATATGCAGTTCTCTTTCATTTTTTTGATTTTTATCTTTGTTTAGAATAAAATTTTCTGTTAAGGTTACTCCTTTGTTACTGGAAGAACGTCAATTCTAGTCATGGATACCTCTTTGCAACTTGCAAGAGAAGACTGCCATCCCTAACTCTCAGAAAACTAGGGGGGCCCTTGGTGTTCCAGGGTAAACCTTTTATGAGCGTGACACCAACCTTGTAGGCTACTAGTCTTAAGCTTGATATTTTTTTTCAATATAGAGGGATCTGGTCTCCTCCTTGTTAGAATATGTGGAACCCCGAATCAATCTACAAAAGAGCCCTTGAGGAGAAAGGGAGGTACCAACATATATACCGGAGAAATGGTCCAAGTCTAGCCGATGTGGGACTCCAACACTTCTAATGTAAAATGAAAAGACAAAATTGCTACTCCTAAAGGAAATGCCAAGAAAAAACATATTTGTGATGTTGATAGTTTACCATAGTAATAAATAGTTACATAATGAATTGAGTTTTTTTTTTTTTTTTTGTAAATGTTCACAGCATTGCTCCTTAAGTGTTTTTTAAAACTATTGAAGATAAAGGGGGATATTGACAGTTACAACGAACTTTTAGGGAATTATCATCATTGGTCAAGAGAAACTATTTGTTTGATGCATTTCAACTTTGTTATTGCGTCAGTTGGAAGTTTTGTAAATTCATACATGAAGTTACTATGTTCTTATCGAAGGTATATGCCAATTTCTTTGTAGATTCAATTTGGAAAGCGAGGTGGATTTGTATCTAGAACTTTTCCACCCTTTTAACAAAATAATAAATATTCTTTTTGTATCAGTTAAATGCATCCACGACAGATGAGGGATTGAACTTCTACGACTCCCGACATCGCTTTGAGCATTCACAGCTTCTGGTGGTTCTATTGAGTTCACTTCCACATGCACCAAAGAGTTTCCAATGCCGAGCACTACAGGTACTGATGTTTTGTTTTATTCCCTTAACCTTTTGTCAGATCTGTTGATTGTTCCTAATGTCCCTTATGAGACATGGTCTATGGGTTCGTCATCGGTCCTAGTGTCTCTAATGAGACATGATTGTTCAAAATGTCTTGAGCATGTAACATGTTTGACTTTTACAACAGAGTCATGCAACATTGAATGTAACCCTTGCAACAGTCATACGACAATGAATATAATTGTTGACAATATAATCGATATACAATGAGATTGTACACTCTATTGTTGAGCAATGAGATCCCAAAGGAGAACAAATTTACTTTTGTAGGATTTAGTATTATAGAAGCAGGAATGTCTGGTCTGGATTGAATTAGTAACATATGGAGCCATATGCCACATTGATTGTTGGGTGCTTGGTAATTCCAAAGTATAAGGAATGAAGAAGTCCAAACATGGAGATTGCTTGAAATTGGACGAAAGCTGAAAGCCTAGGGGACAAACTGGGGTAGGTGAGTACAAGTGGGCAGTGAGATTAATACAAGTAGGTGAAGTAGGGGTTAGTGAGTCGGTTAGTAGTTTACTAAGTATAAATAAGGGTAGTAGAAGAGGAGGTATCCTGAGATCTGTAACCAATTTTGGACGCTAGCCAGGGAGACCCCGGCTTCTTGAATAGCTGGAAAATCATCAATCATTCAATTTCATTTCCCATTTCATATTAAATTCATCTGTGTGGCATCAAAAACAAACAATTATAGTCAAGCTTGGTGAGCAAAAAGATAAATTATATGATAATAGAAGTTGTTTGTTAGAAAAATTGTTTGTCCTATAACAATCACAGGTTTCTGTTGCAACACCCCCGTCCCGCGTGGTTAAAGACGGAAGATGCCACAATTGGTTAAAAAAAATCAAAGCATTATATAAAACAGGGCAACTAATAAAATTTACCAAAAGATAATTACATAACCACAAACGGAGATAACGTGTCTCAAATTACCGGTATATCTACATTAGTCATCAAAAGTTAATAAAAGTATGACATAATGGGTTATCTTCAATATTGTCATCTATGTAGCTCTCATCCCAAAGTCCCTGCTAAGTCATGTACCTGCCGAGGACAAGAAAATCTCGGTTGAGCTTAATGCTCAGTGAACGGATAATAATAACTAAACAATGAATATGAGATAAGAAGTTCAAAAGCAATTTATAATGCTAAGTGATTATCCAAAAGAAAGTCAAAATGCCCCGAAAGCATGTCAAGGGTCCAAAGACCAAACCGCATCACGAGGACGCGTTGTTCCCAAAGGATGATCAGTCCGTTCAGGCATAAATGTAGAAAGGGAAACGAGCACAACACAACAATCCTCTCCGTGGATTTAACCACGACCACAATTTATTATCCGATAATGGTTCCTAGGATCGATCCATACGTTCTCTATTCGACCCGTACATAATCAAGTCCACCTTTAAGGACTATAAAAATGAGGACGCCATGATCGTTTTAGCCACCATGGAAACATCTCAATACCGGTGCCCCCAATATTGAGTCTATAGTAAAATGGTTCACAAATGATGCAAGCTAACAAGTCAAGTGATCAAAATGATCCATGTTCTAAATAAAAATGTACATCATATTTTGAAAGGAAACAAAAGCTCAATAACAATTGATGAGCACAATGAGAATTTGGAACCACTGTATTCGGATTAGGAAGCCTTATACAAATGGCTATCCCCGTGTCAAAGAAGGTATGGTATCCGTACCTTAACCGAATTTGACAATTAACGCACGATCAAACAAAAATTCACGATCAAGTTTGACTTGTCCGCGTGCCCAACGGATGCATAAACGGGTTACTATTTACAAAGCATAAAAACCACAACAAAATTATTCTAATAAAATTACTTAGGTCTTAGTGTACTTAAACAACGTAGAGTTCAAGATGGATAGTTGGATACGAATTGAAAACTCAAATGTAAAACTTAGCCTTATGCTCTTTCGATCCAACCGCTTTCATCCCTCTTCTTTTTAAACATTTTTACCCTACTTAGAGACTAATACAAATTATATTGTCTAAATGAAAGTTGTAGGTTGGTATCATGCGAGTCTATAGTTTTGGAATCATCTCATTTGGATCATCCATCTATTTTATATGAATTTTACAAAACTGCAGATTAATCTCGAATACAGTGCAAACAGCCCCAGAAACACACTGTTTCGAGCCACTTAGAGTCATAACTGGATTTTCGATTCTTCATGAAAGTTGTAGTATACAGTAAGATATTTCTAACTGCAAAACACGAACTTATTCTGACTTACGGTTTATGAGTTATACACTGTCAAAGTACGAGAGATGAATTGTCGGTAAAATTCGATTCCGCAATTCCCGACTAACTTTTATGATCCAACTTCCATGATTCGCTACATTTACAGCTATAAACATACTTTAATATACTAGACAGTAAAACAAGTCCAATGGTCGCTAACCTAAGCTTAATCATGTATTTTTACTTTTTTTGACATTTAATCGAACAATTAGTGTGCGGTTAAACATATACCCACAATCTAACCATATTGAAACTATAATCTTCCTTTTTAATTTCTACAATTTAACCAATCCTAGCATTCTAAACATGAAATATATCATAATTTTAACAACATCAATCCGTAAACTTAGACATAAACACAATTTATAAACCGGTCTAAAGAATCCTAACGTAGACACCCTAATAAAAATAAATGAAATTTATACCTTTAGGAAGGGTTCGGAGAGTGGATTCCGAATATATAATTGTTACTTCTATTCATTCAGTAATTTGACGCGAAATTTAGAGAGAAGACGAGAGTTTTAGAGAGAGAGAGAAGACGAGAGTTTTAGAGAGAGAGAGATGAGACGAGAGAAAGAGTTGAGACGGTGATGAAACCATCTCATGCAAACATATATATATATATATATATATATATATATATACTAGGTTCGATCCTATGTGTTACACAGGGTAATTTGACAAAATTAAATATGTCAGGAACTTATCTTATAGATATGAATGATCATCGAAAGTACGATGCTACTTAAGACTTGTACTCTTGAAATAACTCTGAAGTATAACTCTGAAAAATGACTCTTCAGACTTGAATTTAGAAATGAAGCTATATCAATAATTAGTTAAAATGAAGTTAACCCTAGAATTAAATTAAATTTATAAAATGAAACTATATCAGTAAATTGAATTTAAACTTAGAAGTAAATTTAGAATGACTCTTCAGACTTGTACTCTTGAAATAACTCTAAATTAAAACTCTGAAGAATGACTTCAGACTTGTACTCTTGAAATAACTCTGAAATAAAACTCTTCAGACTTCAGACTCTGTATAGGCAAGCCAGAGGCTCTGCATGCACTATGCAGAGGCTCTGCATGCACTATGCAGAGGCTCTGCATGGTGCTCCACATGGTGCTCCGTCTGGAAAAGAAGACTTCAGAATTCGGGTGAGTTAACTCTGAAAAATGACTCTTCAGACTTGTAATATGGAAGTAACTCTGAAGTAAAACTCTGAAGAATGACTCTTCAGACTTGTACTCTTGAAATAACTTTGAAGTATAAAATCAATCACACTAAATCAGAGTTCAGACTTCTAAGTCTAAAAAAAAGACTTCAGAGTTCGGGTGAGCTAACTCTGAAGAATGACTCTTCAGATTTGTAGAAGACTTCAAAGTTCAGACTTCTAAGTTTGAAAAAGAAGACTTCAGACTTCTTTTTCTAWGTCTAAAAAAAAGACTTAAGAGTTCAGACTTCTAAGTCTGAAAAAGAAGACTTTAGAGTTTAGACTCTAGAGTTCGGGTGAGCTAACTCTTTAGAATGACTCTTCATACTTGTATTCTTGAAATAACTTTGAAGTATAACTCTGAAGAATGACTTCAGACTTGTACTCTTGAAATAACTCTGAAGTAAAACTCTGAGAATGACTTCAGACTTGTATTATTGAAATAACTTTGAAGTATAACTCTAAAAAATGACTCTTCAGACTTGAATTTAGAAATGAAACTATATCAATAATTCGTTAAAATGAAGTTAACCCTAGAATTAAATTAAATTTATAAATGAAACTATATCAGTAAATTGAATTTAAACTTAGAAGAGCGCTTGTGTCAAATCTGAAGACGAAATCTGAAGACCTTGAGTTCATAGTTATTCAAATATCCAATATCTTTGAAAAAGACCTCAGGGTAAAGTTTGCATCATACAGAGCAAGACTAACCAGAGCTCCTCTGGTTCTTAAGGACCAGAGCCCCTGTGGACTCACCAACCAAAAGCAAGGCCAACCAAAGGCTCTCTGATCAACCATAACCTCTGGATCGTCTATCCAGAGCCTCTTGGTCCAAAAAATGTTAAATACTTGAAGAATTTGAGTTTCAATTACAACCATAGCCACTTGGTTCCTTTATGATGGATTGGATATTTTTCTAAGGTTCAAATAAACAACCAGAAGCCAGACCAACCCGAGGGGCTCTGGCTTACAAGACCAAGTCTAAGTCTTAAAGACTTATCTTCAAAGTCTAGATAAGTTTATTACAAGACTTGTACTCTTGAAATTACTCTGAAGTAAACTCTTCAGACTTCAGAGCTCTATATAGGCAAGCCAGAAGCTCTGCATGCACTATGTAGAGGCTTTACATGGTGTCCGTTTGGAAAAGAAGACTACAGAGTTCGGGTGAGCTAACTCTGAAGAATGACTCTTCAGACTTGTACTCTTGAAATAACTCTGAAGTATAGAACCAATCCCATTAAATCATAGTTCATACTTCTAAGTCTAAAAAAAAGAGTTCAGACTTCGGAGTTCGGGTGAGCTAAGTTTGTAAAAGAAGACTTCAGAATTCGGGTGATCTAACTCTAAAGAATGACTTTCAGACTTGTACTCTTCAGAATTGTAAAAGACTTCAGAGTTCAGACTTCTAAGTCTGAAAAAGAAGACTTCAGACTTCTTTTTCCAGGTCTAAAAAAAGACTTCAGAGTTCAGACTTCCAAGTCTGAAAAAGAAGATTTCAGAGTTCAGACTCCAGAGTTTGGGTGAGTTATGTCTTAAAAAGCAAACTCCAGAGTTCGGGTGAGCTTACTCTGAAGAAGGACTTTAGACTTGTTCTCTTGAAATAACTCTAAAGTAAAACTTTTCAGTAAATTGAATTTAGAATAAAATGAAGTTAACCCTAGAATAAAATTGAATTTAGAAATGAAACTATGTCAGTAAATTGAATTTAAACTTAGAAGTAAACATCGTTTTTTCGGGAATTAGTTACCACACGAATTAATTAACCAAAGAATAAAATCAATTGCATCCTAAATTAGTAGGATTGATTGAATAAGAGGACACATGTCAATCAAATAAATATAATTGAACTGTTAATGTAAATTGTGTCTAGATACGTTCAAATGAGTCTAATTGCACTACTAGTGTAAATTGTGTCTAGATGCATGTTTAGGCGGGGACATAAGATAACCGACTCACCAGAAGATGACACGTGTCACCCAAGTTACTTATTTATTAGATGTATAGACATATATATAAGTTTAACCATTTGGCGGCTTTAACCCTTCAAGTCTAGATTATTAACTTGATGCCAAAATAGGTATAAACTCAACTTTTGACACAAAAGTAGTCCAAGGTACAAGTTAATTAAGGATAGGTATAAATATGTTATGCACAATCCTAACCAGAGTTCATTTAACCTAACTTGTACGAGTTAATGGAACACAAATATTATATCTGTACCCTTGCCTTTGAAAAATCTATTTCATATTTGTACTTCTCCTTTTGGTTTCAGGATCTTCTGATTTTGGCATGCAGCCATTCTGAAAACAGAAACAGGCTCACTAAGATGGAAGAATGGCCTGAATGGATATTGGAAATTCTTATTTCCAATTATGAGGTGATTTTTCTTAATATTATTACTTCACCTCCCGTGCTTATTTTTTTTAGAAGTGACACACTAGAGATTATATGCAATGTTTTTATTCTTTTCACATGGTATAAATGCATGCTCATTCCTACAGATGTGTGGGAAGAACACTTCAATGTCTTCAGGCTTCAGAGATGTTGAAGACCTTATATACAATTTCCTCATCATCATGTTGGAGCACTCGATGCGTCAAAAGGATGGATGGAAGGTTGAACAATTTCATCAATTCTCCCCTGCAAACATATCTTCTTGTGTACCATTTTTTTTCAAGATAATATTGATGCATATTGATCTACTCATCTCTTAACTGTTAGTATTTCCATGTCCCATGTTTGTTCTGTAGTTCGAAGTTTCAGGATTCGGCCAATTTAGGACTCAATAAATATTGTTGAACTATTCTGATTGGTTGACTGAATTTGTTTGGATAAAGGCATATCTGCTCTGTTTTTAAAACTGTGATCAAAAGGACCCATTAAAATGCCATCAGTTAACACGTCAAGTGACTTATAAGCTTTATCAACTTTTCATAATCTATAACACTAGAAAATGTTGGTTAACCTTTATGTGTTTTTGGTATGCAAATCAACCTGATAATCTGATATGCCTCCTCCCTTCCAGAAAATGCAAATATCCTTTTCAATAATAATTCCTTATCAAGTTTACATGTTTAACCATTAACAATCAGTATAAGATATCGATGAGATTGATTGTGGTCGACAAACGTGTTAAGGAGGGTTTCAGATATTTGGTTATTAGTCAAAGACTTTTATGTACTATGTATCAAGTCAAACATATTATTTTATTTTGGGATGAGGAGAGTATTATTTATCTAATTATGGGAATTTAAGGGTAGTCTTCGTGCATGTCAATGTGCTTAATCTAAAGAGGACTTTGTGTATTAAGTTTCGAGATATGTTATCAGACTCCCATGTTACACTTTGTTGCGTTTGGCTGATGTCCTAGTGCATGTCATATCATAACTTTCAAGTTATACTCTATATAGCAAAAAATTTAACGTATACATTATATGTGTGTGTGATGCTTGTTTCATTACTGTGACTTCACTCAAAAGATACGTGTACTTACCTTTTATATCCACTTTGATACAAATTAGTTTATTGATCACTTTCGTCACAAGTGGTATACCATGAAGGTTTACTTTTTCATGGTTCAGAAGTTAAACTCCATTGATGTTTTCCTGTTCAAGTTTTATGTCACTTATATTTCCAGATTGGGCTGAATTCTTTTTGTATTATCTTGTTTATAATTTGCCATCTTTCCTTTTCCTTTTCCAATTCTTTATTCTTTTCTTCATGCTTCCATCCCCCTCCCCTCCTCTCCCCAAATCTTCATAGTCCTTCCTCCCATTTTGGTTAACTCTTTATCTGCACATGTAATGAAATGTTTCTATTTTGTGAAAAACTCTTGGCTATTGATTTGCATTTTATCGTCAAATGTTGATTGAAGCATCTGTGGCCCGAACTTTTAAGCACTATCAGTTCATTTATATTGTTTGGTCATACTTCCCTTTGACAGGATATTGAAGCTACAATTCATTGTGCAGAATGGCTTTCGATGGTGGGTGGATCTAGTACAGGAGAGCAGCGCATAAGGTATGCCATTAACTAGAAATGCACATTTGGTCAAGCAATAATATATACACACACGCCCATACTATATGCATGTATGGACTTCCTATACTAATGCAAAATCATCCTAACACATACTGCATAGCTTCATGTATTTCTAACTCTTGTAAAATTGCCACTATCTTTGGATTGATCCAAATTATACTAGATTGCTGAGGATCAAGTCTGGAGTTAAATGCACTCTTAAGATTCTTTTGTTCCCGGTCATTGTTGCTTGTATTATTAACATCTCTAATCTTGTTCAATTTGATAGACGAGAGGAATTGTTGCCCATTTTTAAGAGAAGGCTTTTATGTGGGCTGCTGGACTTTGCTGCTAGGGAACTGCAGGTTCAGGTAAAACTTTTGTCTTGATCTTAGACTTCTTCTCTTAATATTTAGAGTAAATTACATTTTTGTCTCTGTGATTTGTTAAAAATTTGGATTTCGTCCTTGTGGTTTCAAAATTTCGGTTTTCATCCCTATGGTTTGAATTCATTTCTATTTCCCTGAGACCAAAGCACTACTTTTAAGTATGAAGGACTAAAATAGAAATGAATTGTAAACCATAGGGACGAAAATAGAAATAAATTTTAAATCATAAGGATGAAAAAGATGAATTATAAACCATAAGGATAAAATTTATAATTTCAAGATCACAAGGATGAAAATAGAAATTTTCAACAAACCACAGGAACTAAAAACGTAATTTCTAATATTTATTTTCCTCTCCTTCCCCTCATTTTGTACCCCAACAGTTCATACATGCTCAAACTTTTTTCTCTTTATTTTTCTGTCACTTAAATTGAAAACAACGTTGTTCTTGAACATGGAGAAATGTCAGAAACTACAGTACACTGTGTGAAACATCTTTTCTATCTACTGCAGACTCAAGTTATTGCTGCAGCTGCTGCTGGTGTTGCCGCTTACGGATTACCACCGGAGGTTTCTAAGGCAGAAGCAGAGAATTCTGCCCAACTTTCTGTGGCTTTGGTAGAGAATGCAATCGTGGTGTTAATGCTTGTTGAAGACCATTTGCGCCTGCAAAGCAAACTTTATAGTTTTTCTCTCATTCAAGATGGTTATGATTCCTCTCTTTCATCTGTGGTCCGTGTTGGTAACCACACAAATCTCCCCAAAATCCCAGAACCTTTGGAAGCAGAGACTTCATCTACTGAATCTAGAAGTCTTCCCCTTGATGTATGTTTGCAGCTACTTCCATGATACTGTCATTCTGTACTTGTTAACATGTTACCCCTTAGTTCTAAAGTTGTGTTATTGATCTGATAAGGTGCTTGCTTCTATGGCTGACACTAAGGGGCAAATTTCGGCAATAGTGATGGAACGGCTTACAGCTGCTGCAGCAGCTGAACCCTATGATTCTGTTTCTTGTGCTTTTGTATCATATGGCAGCTGTGCTGTAGATTTAGCTGAAGGTTGGAAATATAGAAGTAGATTATGGTATGGGGTCGGTCTTCCTACGGAAACATCCAATTTCGGTGGTGGTGGCAGTGGCTGGGATGCCTGGAATTCTGCTTTGGAGAAAGATTCAAATGGTAACTGGATTGAACTGCCTTTAGTAAATAAATGTGTTGCCATGCTACAAGCTTTGTTGTTAGACGAGTCCGGGCTTGGTGGTGGTCTTGGTATCGGAGGAGGTTCTGGTACAGGGATGGGAGGCATGGCGGCCCTTTATCAGTTGTTAGACAGTGACCAGCCCTTCTTATGCATGCTCCGGATGATACTTGTTTCGATGAGGGAAGAAGATGATGGTGAAAATAGTATGCTTACGAGGAATCTTAGTGCTGATGAAGGGTCTTTTGAAGGATCACGTGGACAAGATGGAAGTGTTCCATCATCCTTAGAAAACAGTCATCGGACATCAATGAGGCAGCCCCGTTCTGCATTATTGTGGAGGTATGCCTGTTGCACTGTTTTTTCAGATCTCATTTGAAGCACGTTGGATTTGGTTTGATTAACACATTTAACATGTTATACATTCATTAACACGTTTCTCTTGTATCTGCTTCTATTTGTTTGTTATTTGTTACTCTTAATCAGTTTGTCAATAATTTTTCATATATGCCTTTATCTCTTTCTCACACTTTCACAAGTCGGAGGTCTTCATGGAACATGCGCTCTACTCTTCGTGGTAGATGCTAGGTCTACGTACATCTCCCCCCCCCCCCCCCCACCCGGTTGGACCCTAATTCCGGGTGGGACTTAGAGCATCTCCAACAGATTTCCAAAATGGAGAAGATAGAGATTTTGGGGATTTTAGGCATGTTTTTTACTCCAACAGATTCTCCAAAATGGAGAAAGTAGGAAAGAGAGTGTAAAGTCTCCAAATTTGGAGACTACCCCAAAAATGATTACAATAAGAGAAATATTTTAATATATTTCCAGCAATCATTTGCCAATAAATTGGATCCACCTCTATTCAAAGGAAACTTTGAAAATAAATGTTCAGAGAGAGAAATATGTTCTATTAGATGAATGGAATATTTTAATAATATAATCAGTGTTGTAATCTCCAAAATGGAGAATCTGTTGGAGTTGAATGTATTTTTGTTTTAGAGATTTTGAAGCTTCATCCTCCATTTTGGAGAACTTTAGGAGAATCTGTCGGAGATGCTCTTACTGGGCTCGTTTGGTTTGGTTTAGTTTGGTTTGCAGCACAAGGGATCAATTGCTAATTGTAGCTTTTCGGGAATTAAATGCAATTGTCAAAAGAAATTCACTATTGATATCCCAGAAAGGTCTGATTCTGGGATTGCATGATAAAGAGGATACAATACAATTCCATTTTATCATGTCATCAAGAGATAGTAGCTTGAATTGGAGAAAACCAATCACTTGGCAGAGAAAACATCTGCATGAAATTTTCTAGAATAATACTTCTTGACGTCATGACCATTAATTAGATATTGCCATTGTCGTGAAAGGTGCCCTAGGCCCATCGAAGCAACATTGGCTGAGGCCCACCAGCTTTGATGAGGGGGACCCTTAGCCCCTGAGGAGCAAGGCGCATGAAGCATTTGATTGATTATAGCTAGGGGCAAGTTGATTTTTTGGGCCACTTTTAATTAGTCAATTTGAATCGCACCCTTTTAGTTCAAATGAAATCCGAACCCATTCAGCATCTTTTCAACTGATATGCTACACTTTCTGATGATTCTATTTATGGGCTTCTGGTTATTTAAATGTTACTTGTTAATATGCCGTTAATGATTACATAACTTGATGATTCGTTAATTGAATGTCACTGGTTCCTAATATTTACACTGTTTAATATGTGCTCATGTTTATTATGGGAATCATCTTGATTTTAATAAAGCTTTAATATATTAAATATGCCTCTTGGCCCATTCTAGTGATTCTGTGTATATATATTTGAAATTTTTGTTAGTCATTTGCTTCACATCAATGGATGAACTAACATTTTTCACTGATGATGAACAGTGTGCTTTCGCCCCTCTTGAACATGCCAATTTCAGAGTCCAAGCGACAGAGAGTGTTGGTTGCATCTTCCGTTTTATATTCTGAGGTTTTTTCAAACAAACATGACATACATAGAAATTATTTTTAACTTTTTCTCCCAAATTGCTTCTCAATGTGCCTCCCTGTGAAAATTGTGACTATTTACTTGGAACATAGTTTAAAGTGAAATTTGTAACTATTGACTTGGAACATAGTTTAATGAATCGTCTTGAATAATTATCAAATATCTCAGATACCTTCTGGTAAGGAGAAAAAATAATCTTGCAAACCAAATCAATAGCATTGGTTTTTTTATCATGATGATAGCGAATAAATAAGTGATTTTAACATGGAAACCTTCCAAAAAAGGGAATTCTGTAATTTTCATAGGGCATCACAAAATGAAATTGTTATGATTTTCATGGGACGGAGGCATTTTCTTATCTTTGTCTTGTTATCTGCATTCGCAGGTGTGGCAGGCTGTTAGCCGGGACAGAGTCCCTCTTCGAAAACAGTATCTAGAAGCTATTTTGCCACCATTTGTTTCGGTTTTAAGGAGATGGCGACCTTATTTAGCTGGAATTCATGAGCTTGTGGCCACTGATGGTTTGAATCCTCTAGCTGTCGATGACCCAGCCTTGGCCGCTGATGCACTGCCTATAGAGGTTGAACTACTAAACTGGCAGATTATAATCTTTCGTTACTAATTCTAGAACTTATGATTTAATTCTTAACTTCATTAAACACATCCCATATTAGGAATATGTAGTTTGTCTTTTTGGTTTTCCTGTTACCATGTTTGTTTAGTTTCTACTTGTGCATATTACCATTTTTGCCAAAACTTTTGACCCATCAAGTTTCGTGCAATTAGGGTGCTCTTGCCATGATCACACCTGGTTGGGCTGCTGCTTTTGCATCTCCACCTGCTGCATTGGCATTGGCGATGATTGCTGCAGGTGCCGGTGGAGGGGAAGCCGCCGCTCCTGCAACAACTGTGAATCCACAACGCGACTCTTCCTCCTCACTTGGTCGAAAGCCCGCTAGGCTTCATTCTTTTGCTAGCTTTCGTGAACCTAGAGAGGCAGCTAGCAAGCCATCAACTGCAAAAGACAAGGCTGCTGCAAAAGCAGCAGCACTGGCTGCTGCTCGTGATATTGAACGTAATGCAAAAATTGGTTCTGGAAGAGGTCTGAGTGCCGTGGCAATGGCTACAGCTGCACAGAGACGGAATAGAAGTGATATGGACCGTGTAAAGAGATGGAATGTTTCTGAAGCAATGGGAACTGCCTGGATGGAGTGTTTGCCATCTGCCGACAACAAACCAGTTTTTAAGAAAGATTTTAATGCTCTTTCATATAAATTCATTGCCGTTCTAGTTGGAAGCTTAGCTTTAGCTAGAAACTTGCAACGATCAGAGGTATCTTTGCACCTCTTATTTCTTTTTGTGTTCCATTTGGAACTTTGAATGTAATCTAATTTCAATCCTATTTTCAGGTTGACAGGCGTGCGCAAGTTGATTCCATTGCTCGGCATCGTGCATGCACTGGCATACGTGCCTGGTGTAAACTCATCCATTACTTGATAGAGACAGAATGTCTCTTCGGACCAATCAGTGAAAATCTTTACAATCCTGAACGAGTATGTTCATGGCCTTAATCATGTTTCTAATTGGTTTCTGATATAAGTTTTACCTATCTAAAACATACATTTTCATGCATAGATTTTCTGGAAGCTAGATCACATGGAAAGTTCTACACGGATGCGGAGATGTTTGAGGAGGGACTTTGAGGGATCGGATCATTTTGGTGCTGCTGCAAATTATGAAGATCCTGTGGAGCCGAAACATGGTAAAGAGAATGTAGCCAGTCCTTCTAAGGCCTCTATTTTGCCTACAGAAGCTATCTCAATGGAATTAGTAAATGACGATGATGAACAAGAGGATATTGTTAATATGGAGGGAAAGACTAATGATATGGGGAAGATAGATGATACACAAACAAGGCTATCTGGGATAGCAGAGCAGCCGTTGCATGTGCCAGATTCTACGAAATCCCAAGTTGGAAATAACGAAGAGTTTGCGAGTTCAGCAGCAGTTGGCCCTGGTTATATTCCCAGTGAACATGACGAAAGAGTTATTCTTGAGCTCTCGGCATCAATGGTCCGACCATTAAAGGTTTGGCAAGGAACATTTCAGGTAAGCTTTGATTGTCATTTCCTTTTTACTGCAAGAATTTATCAGGAGTGTTTATAGTCTGGTCTGGGCAGTCTAACCCCTCTTTTACCGAACCAAACCGCAAGTGCGATTTAATAAAATTTCCAAACCGTGGGGTTTGGCATGAAGTGGCCGAACTGGTCAAACTAGAGCGCTTTGTGGTCTGGTCTGATTGGTCAGCATGGTTTGGGCTTGTTATGGGCTGTAAACATAGTCCTATTAAGTATTTTTAGCTCATTATAATATATGACAATATTATCTTATTTAATTAGTAACATATTTATAACACAAAAACTATAATATAAACTATGAACTTGTATATATCGTCCCCTTTTAAAGCCACAGAGAATTTAATATATATATATATATATGTGTGTGTGTGTGTGTGTATACGTATATGTATATGTATAGGGTCAGGTTCAAATGAGAATGCGGTCAATTTGTGAGAAGGCAAGAAGTTCCAAGATCATACACACGTCATACGCACAATCATGTATGATTAAACACATCTTGCATTGACTGGCACATAGCGGGCACCAAGTCGCCCACGTCCCTTTTGGATATGTTTAATCATATATGATTAAACGTTTGTATCACTTGTAATCATATATGATCTTGGAACTTCTGGCCTTCTTGCAAATTGATCAACTTCTCTATCCTCCCTCCCACCCCCTGTCTCTCTCTCTCTCTCTTTATATATATATATATTTATATATATATATATATGCTTCTGTATATAACTGCATGTTGATTTCATAAAGTAACAAAAGAGAACTTAGGTCCAGTTTGTTTAGCTGTTCAACTTTTTTGTTTTGTGGGTCCTATTGTAATGTTGTGATGAGAGAAGATGTGGGCATGGGTCCATATGTTTCATAACAGGAGAAATGAAACCAGGACCTCAAAATTAAAAATAGATAATGGAGAGAAATAGTATGCACTTCATAGATTGTTAGTTGCTAAACTGTTGTTAATGATACCTGATACTTGGCATCTTTTATGTACGTGCTATTTTAAAACTACTTGAACTCTTCTTCAACATACATGTGATGTTTTATCCCAGATAACAACGAGAAAAATCAACTTTCTTCTTGATAAATCTGAGGGCATTATCGGGGAGGATGGGTTGGATCATAAAACTGAAAGCAAAGTTGTAGATAAGGACCGGAGTTGGTTGATATCTTCTCTTCATCAAGTATACAGCAGGAGGTCAGATGAATAGTTTATTATTTCAGCTTTTCCTGATTATTTGTAAAATAAAATGATGGTTCATCTGTTATTATTCCATGATGAAAAACCGTTTATTTTGAAGCTGATTCAAAAGGGAGAGAAAAAGAAAGCAATCATTTTTTGGGTGTTTAAATGAGCTTGAAGATAATATATATATAACTAGTTAATAGTAGGAAACTATTGTCCTATTTTTTGTTTATATTCATGTTTATGTTTCCTGTCCATTTCTTAAATTTGGCTTTTGTGTGGCTCTCAGCATTGGTTTTCTTTCAGAATCATTTTGTTACTCTATGAAACCCTCGGTAATTCGACTATAGATAGAAGAAAGATCTGTTTGACATAAAATTTTAATGCACTCTATTCATCAAAGCTTGGACATCATTCTTACTGTTCAGTTTTCCTTGATTAAGAAATTATGTTGGAGATTACTTGCCCTGTCCCAAAATAAGTTCAAGGTTTGACTTGAATCTTGACACATAGTTTAACTGAAGTCTGTGACTAGTACTGAACGAGAAAATAGAAAAATCTTGCAAACCAAAATCAAGGCTTTTGTAATAATAATTACTAGTGGGTAAACTGAATTTTTGGATTGAAACCATGCCAAGAAGAGATATGTTGCATTTAGTTTATAACATCCCACAAACAAAATTATTGCATTTAATTTGGACAGAAGGAATACCATTTATAAGGACCTGTAGGCAAAACGAGATATTGTTATATTTTTTCCACTTACAAACACCTACTCAAGGTTAAGAATCTTTGTGCAAATGCCTGTCAAATATAACATTTTGTCATTCCATACATAGATGCCAATTCTCAAGTATTCATCTTTCCGCACATGATGAATGTTAAATTATTCTGAAACTTCCATTCCACTTTTGATGTTTGTGACTTTGTGCATTGGGCAAAATAGACTCATAGCATACCTCTGCACTTGGAATGATAGTTTAATTTTAGGAACAATCCATTTTCGAGGGGCAAATTCAAATTATAAGTTGCTCAAATCCCCCCCCCCCCCCCCCCTTCTTGCCCTTTTCTAATATAAGAAAACTTCATGATACATTAATTTTGTATTAATAGCATTTGATCTTAGTTTATTCTTCTTGTCTTTGTCTTTGTCTTTTCCTTTTCACTTACACTTTTGCACAACCCAGAGGTCTTCATGGAAACAGTCGCTCTACCCTTTAGGGGTTGAGGTAAAGATTGCATGCATCCCACCCCTCCCAGATCCTATTTTTGAGCAGGATATACTGGGTTTCTTTGGTTCCATTTTCTTAATTTACTACTACTTCAATATGCATTACATCTAAACAGTGCTTAGGCATTTCTATGAATAGCCATTAGAAATAGCGTCAAGAAAACACATGAAATATAAAATCATCTAAGAATACTTGTCCATACCCATGTGGGTCTGTCACAAAGGAATGTGATCCATTTGCTAGCCAGTTGTACAACCCATTACTTTGGTCAAATCAATATTTTTACTAGCAACACACCTTTTGTGTAGATCGATGTCACCAGTAACCCTTTCACACAATCATCCAAATTGCACAACTTAAATGATGGTGTCCGAGCACCAAACTGCCAACCAAAATGATAGTGTGACCCATAAAAAATATTTTCTACTTGTTGGATTGTTCCTTGTATCTTATTTCACTTTTGTAGCCTTGAAATGCATTTGGATGATGGTCAGTTTTGCATTCTTTGACACTTTGCAATATTTCTTTACACGTCGTTCTTTGGTTGTTGCTAGCCTTACAATTATCTGATATACAGATATCTCCTAAGAAGAAGTGCTCTGGAATTGTTTATGGTTGACCGATCAAACTTCTTCTTTGACTTTGGGGTATCTACCATCACAATATCATTTCTGTACGTTCCTTGGACATTTATGTTGGTGACTTTCAGCTTATAAAGTGGTACTTTTTTCTTCTCCAGACTACCGAGGGGAGGAGGAGCGCATATCGAGCCATTGTTCAAGCACATCCTTCTCATTTAAACAATATATACTTGGCGACTCAGGTTTTTTCCTTTATGTGGCTTGGTTATAGATCCTAAATTAAACCATAGTTGTCGATTTTTATGAACCAAATCAAGAAATTTTTATACTAATTTCATGGATCATAAATTGTGAGTTGAATCATAGATTAGCTCTAACTTTTTTTTTTCCTTAAATAATTGGTATAATATGCACAAATATATAACATAAAAAGTAAGCATTCTACATTTCTACTAACTTTTAAACCAAAATTATATTTATAATATGATGCGGACATTGTCTTGTCCTATTAATAGTTCGTTATGACTTCACCAAATACCAGCAGAAAGAACTTTCTACTCATGTGCCTGCTAATAAGTTATGTGGCCAAAAGATGAGATAATATGATAAGAAATCTTTGTGAAACTTAGAGAAAATTTATTCTGGGGCCTACCTTATTTGAGGACTCATCACTGTGCTTTAATCTTTGTCTTAGAGACCAGACCAACTTCTCAAGAGGACTCAACTTATGGAACGTTGGGCACGCTGGGAGGTAAGAAGAAGAATGAAATATGAAGTTCAATGTGTCAATTTGTCCATTTACATGCATTCAGCATTTGACTTCAAATTTTGCAGATCAGCAACTTCGAATATCTAATGCAGCTCAACACACTGGCTGGGCGTAGTTATAATGACATCACCCAGGTGAATTTCTTCATAATAAACATTCCAGTTATCTAATTGAAATGCCTGTTAATAACCTTGTTTTTTGTGTGCAGTATCCCGTTTTCCCATGGATTCTTTCAGATTACAAGTCGAAGCATTTGGATCTTGCAAATCCCTCATCTTACCGAGATCTATCAAAGGTCACAGGCTCACAGCACTTTGCCCTTCCTTTTTGAACTTACATAGCATAATTTAAACTAAGATATTGACCCAAATATGTTTTTCAGCCTGTGGGAGCACTAAATGCTGATCGGTTGAAAAAGTTTCAGGAGAGATACTACAGCTTTAACGATACTGTCATACCCAAGTTCCATTATGGTTCACATTACTCAAGTGCCGGGACAGTAGGTTTTCCAATTATTTGTTTTGGATTCCCAATTTTAGAAATTATGTCTTTTTATAGGATAGTTTATATATACATATATATTAGAGAGAGAGAGAGACACAGTTAGGTTCATACGAGAACAGTAACCAAATAAGAGGATAAGAAAACGGTCGAATCACAAATGATTTTACACTAAAATCACGTGTAAAATCACACGTGATTCATTCGACTTTGGCCACGACATGAGGTCGCAGGCCACATCTCCCGCACATCCTTGCATTGACTGTTTAGTGCAAAATCACATGTGACTTTGCACGTGATTTGGTCGTTTTCGTGTTCTTTTATTTGGTTTCTTTTCTCATTCGAACCTCCCTTTATGTGTGTATATATATATATATATATACACATATGTATTATATATACATGGAATAAGATGCAAGATTGCAGTTATTATCATCACAAAAATTGAGGCTCTACTCCTTTACATCATTTACTTCCATTTTCTATTCCCAAGCTCTCCTTGCATCAAGTAAATTGGACCCATAAGCACATCTTTATTTCTCCTCATACCATATATGACATAATGAAAATGCTGAAATATTAAACGGCCAAAAAACCTATAGCAGGCCCGCTTTTAATGCTTGATGCTAGTGTTGGTTGCTTGCCCTTGAATTTGTCGAGCGATATGAATCTATATGGTAGACCAGCCATGAGTCTTTATAACAGAAAATCTCATAACTTAGTAGATCCTTTTGGAGGTTCCCTGCATGCAACCTACTCAACTTTGCATTATGATCTGAATATTGAACATTTGAACTTTCGTTTTGGTATATTCATCTCTTTGACAAATCACGATTGTGTGCACAGAATTAGATGATAAGATAATGAGAAATGAGTCATACATTTTCGTGAGTATGCACATGTATATGCTTAAAAGCATATATATATATATATATATATATATAGAGAGAGAGAGAGAGGGAGGATCAAACGAGAACGGTACCTATTTAAAAGAACACGAAAACGGGCGAATCACATGTGATTTTACACTAACATCACATACAAAATCACGTGATTCAAGCGACTTTACCCGGCAACCTAAAGACAACGCAGCCACAAGTGCCCGGACACTTTTTTACCATTAATGTAAAATCACATGTGATTTTGCACGTGATTTGTCCGTTTTCGTGTTCTTTTAAATTGGTACTGATCTCGTTTGATCCTGCCTCTATATATATATGTATGTATACATGTGTATATACAGTCAGCATACATATGTGGATTTTGCTTGGCCTCATAATTGATTAATAAGAATTCATTCATTTAACAAGGTTAAATGGAATTTTGGATTCTAGTTGAATATGTTATGGCAGGAAAAATATTTGTTCGGCCCTTCTACTATCAACTAGCATATTTTTTTCACCAATCACTTTGCTCACCATTCCTACTTCCTGATAAAATCTCACTTTTAAAGGCATTTGACCTAAAAGAGCCTTAACCATAACATCCTTTAAACAAGGCTAAATCACACTTTTCACTAGCCCGGGTCTTCATTGAAACATCCGCTTTACTCTTTAGGGTAGAGGTCAGATGTGTGTACATCTCCCCCCACCCCCCAAACCTGACCCACCCTCCAGGTGCGGTATACCGGGATCTTTTTGTTTGGTTTAAATAACGGTAAACTGGTCATATTACTTTTTGTCCAGAAAGTTATGGTGGCTAACGCCAAACCTATTCACACAATAATAATGAGGTCAAACAAATATTTTTTCCTTCTTTTGGATGGCTAGTTTTTGTGCTGCAATCTTCAGTTATGGTTTAACTAAATAGCTTTCAAAGTCTGTTTTTAATGGCATTGTTTCCCCTTTGCATATACAGGTATTGTATTATCTCATGCGAGTGGAGCCATTTACTACTCTTTCAATTCAATTACAAGGTGGCAAGTTTGACCATGCTGACAGAATGTTTTCAGATATTTCTGCTACATGGAATGGTGTTCTAGAGGACATGAGTGATGTGAAGGAACTGGTATGAGTGTATAACAGAACTAAAAAAAATTATCATGTGTTTTTTGTGAGAGCTTGACTTACTTTTCAAAATTATCTAGCTCACTTTTTGACCAAGACATTTGGACATCTTATGTGTGGGTATAGTTTCAACTAATTATGTTTCTGACGGTTTGTTTTCTACTTCTAATCCTTTCTAAAACCAAACAAAACGAACCAAGTATAGGATGTATGTAGACCTTGCCTCTAGCCCAAGGTAGGAAGATTATATGCACTCTTCTCCTCTTTGTGTTCTTATTACGTCTCCTCGTCTCTCTATTTTCTTTTCCTTTCTTGTTTAATTTCTCTCAGTATTTTTAGGCTTTTTTTGTGCATGTGATTGTAGGATGTAGCATATCATTAGAGTTTGATAATCAAAAGCTTTGTTGGGTTAATTTTTGTAAGGATTTAAGTAGTTGAATAATCTTCCTATCATAAGTTATTTTGTCTTCTTTACTTAATGCAAATGCATAAGTATGTACATATAACCAAAGGGCCTTTGGCCTAGCGGTATCCGAGCCTTTGGTCTTCATGGGAGGTCAGGGGTTCAAACCTCACCAAAGCTGAGGAGGGTGTGTGAGTTTATTCGTTGCATTTGCCGTATATAAATATTATATACTTCAAAAGAAATTATATACGTATATGTCTCAATATTTTTGTGTGTGAACTTGTATGCACATTGATGTTTCCATAAATGTTCTTTATTTGTATAAACTCTTACGCCCACACCTTGCCATTCTATGTTTTTGCTTTTCTTTTCGTTTTAGGTTCCTGAGCTGTTTTACCTTCCAGAGCTATTATTGAATGAGAATTCAATTGATTTTGGTACCACACAACTTGGAGATAAGCTAGGTATGGACTATTGACTTTAATTAGTTTGATCGTAAATAAGTGCTTGATCATGTTTCTCTTTCAGGCAGAAGTTTAAAGGTTCTAATTTCTTTTAATCATTTTTACTTTTTCAGATTGTGTTAGGCTTCCTCCTTGGGCTGAAAACCCTGTTGATTTTGTGCATAAGCATCGGATGGCTCTTGAAAGTGAGCATGTCTCAGCACATTTGCATGAATGGATAGATCTCATATTCGGGTGAGCACTAATTTGTTGATTTTGTGGTAGTACCATCTATTACATTGTTTGGATGCTTTTAACATTGTGAAAGGTAGACATAAATCAATTTGGGCTATGTTCGGCTAACTAGTTGATAAACTAGTCATGTTTGGTAAAAAAATGGCTGATAAGCTATATGACAAAGTAAAATGACCTAAAAGGACATGTTGAAAAATTAATTGGAAAAATATTAGAGCCATAATTGGAAGAAGAAAAAAAGCCCTTGGTGGTTATTGAAGCACTACTTGAAGTAGCTTTTCAAAAAGCTAGCTTATAAGATAGCTTTATGGCTAACCCTAAGGAAGCTTTTTTAAGCTCAAAAAATAAGTAGCTTGTGGTTGCCATGCATGGCCTTAGATGCTACTCGTTTATGCCATTGTTCTCCATTTTGTGGATCCCATCCCAGTTTTGATAAATGGGACCCACAGCCACATATTCATTTAGGGGCTGTTTACTAAACGCTTACTCGGTAAGCACTTACCCGATCAGCTACCTTATCAGATAACATGGCAAAGGCCGAAAATCTTACCCGGTAAGAGATGATAAGGATGGAGAGTGTTACCCGGTATGTGAGGGTGACGACTTTTACCCGGTTAGTGCTTACCACGATTTTTTTTGCATACAATACTATTTTGATGAACTACAATCTTACCCGGTAAAGTAAGTTACAGTGTTGATTTTTATTGGTAAGCGCTTCCCGGGTAAGCGTTTGGGTAAACGGTCCCTTAGCCTTAGCCTTACCCTGTATAAAACAAATGTAAATGTTGAATGTCAAATATCTAAACAAGTAGATCCTAAACATCTACTCTAGACAACGTGGCATTTACATCGATTTCTTGTATAATATTAGGTATAAGCAACGAGGAAAAGAAGCTATTTCAGCAAACAATGTATTCTTCTACATCACCTATGAAGGGACTGTGGATATAGACAAAATTGTGGATCCGGTAAATCTTGGTAGTCAATTAATTAATCTTTATATGTTGGTTTTCTATTTCTTGATCCTTCTAAATACATATTGTCAAAAGGTTCAACAACGTGCTATGCAAGATCAAATTGCTTACTTTGGACAAACCCCGTCACAACTTTTAACGACACCTCACATAAAGAAGATGCCACTTTCAGATGTTCTTCATATGCAGGTATCTTTTTAATTAATGTCACTAATATAATTTCTCTGCCCTCTTATGGTCCGAGGGACATACACTGGGTTGGCCCTTGTATTGTACTATTCAGTAAGGGGTTGTGTGGTTGATTTTCCATTAAGTCCTGTATGGATAAAGTTGTCTTTGTAGATTAATTTGTCTGTATAGATTAGGAAAGTTTTTGTTTTGGAGTTCTTTTTCATGGACGGAGTAAGCTTAATTTTAATTGGGGGCACGGGTCCGGAAATTTGTTGGCTTTCTGCATAAAGCTCCCCCTAGAAGCTTATTGAATAATCTGCTTTCTATAACATTAAGCCACTACCAAACAGTCATCTATAGTTGACCAGTTAAGCTGTGAGTCTCATTAGGCTCATTAAGTAGCTAACAAACATGCCCTAAATTTCTTTGGCTGTTGTGCCCCATGGTCGACTATTTTTACCCACAAATCCTATTATCTGGGGGTAAAAGGAAATGAATTGATCAGTTCACCGTTACTAAAAGGATGTCACCATCAATGTTTATCAAGCGCATTTGTGTCAAATAATGTCAGTCTTTCAATAGAAGTAGGACTGGTCTGTAAATGGTGATTAAAACTACGGTAGCCAAGTAAATGATTTTAGTAGTAGAGTTACCGAAATTATATTTCTCCCGGAGTCTGAAAAGGTCTTGCATAAGCAGTGTCAGCTTTGTTTTGTGGTACCTTTATTTTCCTGATTATGAGTCTAAACCCTGTTAATCTGTTGATTTGTCAAATAAATCAAACTAGAAAAACCCAGTATGGCAGTATCCCAGGGGGTCCCACTAGAGACGGACCTATAAACAAGTGGTGGCACCATTTTACTATAAGAAACAAATATAGGGATATTTTTCACAAAATCATCATCAATCTGTTGGTTAGTTCATTGCTTTTCATATGTGAGGTCCTGTATTCAAGTCTTTTATTGCAATTTTTTTCAGAAACATAATAAATCTGAAATTAAAAGCTGAAAACCAAGAAAATGACACTAACAGAATTCGAACTCGGGTCTAGGGTAGAAGAAGCCTTGCAACCAACTCTACCAAGGGAAACTTGTGTCATCATTGTAGTTACAAAATATATACGGTGGCACAATAAATTGATACAATGGCACGTTTTACGACCTTATAATTTTTTACTCTATGACGGAGGGACGAAGCCATGGCCCATGCCACCACATGCACCACCTGGATCCGTCCCTGGTCCCCCCCCCCCCCCCCCCCCCCCCCCNGCGCGCGCCGGGGTGGGGTGGGGTGGGGGGGAATGCAGACCTGATCTCGTATTAAATATTCAGGAGGGAAATCTTTGTATACTAATGATATCAGTATATTAAATATTCACCACCCACCCACAAAGGGTGCACCGAGGCTCTCTCCTAAAACGCTTGTGGTTGGAATGTATCGCCATTAAGGATCCATCCTAAAACGCTTATGTATATTTCTATGAATCTAATATGCAAACTTATCATGAGTATTTTTGCATGTCAGACCATCTTCCGAAATCCCAAAGAAGTCAAAGCATATAGTGTTTCATCTCCGGAACGCTGCAATCTACCTGCTTCAGCCATTCGGGCATCTTCAGATTCTCTTCTAATCGTTGATATGGATGCTCCGGCAGCACATATTGCACAACACAAATGGCAACCAAATACACCCGATGGCCAAGGAACACCGTTCCTGTTTCAACATGCAAAGGCTAACACAAGCTCGAGTGGTGGAAGTTTCATGCGTATGTTCAAAGGACCATCAGGATCCAGCTCAGAGGAATCGCAATATCCTCAGGCTCTTGCATATGCAGCTCCAGGACTTAGGAGCTCTTCCATAGTCTCCATCACATGTGACAACGAAATTATCACGGGTAAGAATTTTCCCTAATAGTATATCGATCTCATTTTGAATATTGTTCTGTTCCATCAAAGGGTCATTGGCCCAGCAGTACCTGGGTTATATGTAGATCCCAGCCTCCTCAAAGGTCAAGGGTTCAAACCTCACTGAAGGTGGGTTGCGTGCGTCAGTATTTGCCGTATATAAATATTATTTATTATAAAAATATTATTTTGTTCCTAAATGATGTCCTTCCACTATTCTAAAAATGGTCATTGTGTTAGATTTTATAGGTCAAATGGGATTAAGGTCCTGCTTGTTAGAAGCTTAATGAGCTTAATGTGACTCACAACTTATTCAGTCAGCTATACATGACTGTTTGGTAATAGCTTAATGATATAGAAAGTAGCTTATTCAATAAGCTTATTGGGGGAAGCTTTATGCAGAAAGCCAAGTTTTTTTCCAAACAGACCCCTCACTGTTAAAAAACATGCTCTTCCATCTATGAAAAAAACTCTCCCAAACAAAAACCTTCTCAATTTATACAAGATAGATTAATCAATACAGACAACTTTATCCATACAGGACTTGATGGAAAACCAACAAAAAAGCCCCTAACTTCTACATGAAAATTGATATAGATCTAAACCCTTGGAGTAGCTCAACTGGTCATGCCTTGGGTTTGCTCCTCATTGGTCTCTAGTTGGGGTCCCCTTAGGGCCACCGGAGGTTTTCCCTAAAAAATGAAAGGGATTTATTAGAAATCTCATTACCTATTTGTAATCCAACCCAAACTGATTAACATTTGTCTTTTTTGGGATGTCCCAAAATTAATGCAATATTTCTCTTTCGGTGAAGTTTCAGACCAAAATTTCAGTTCAGTCGCTAGTAATCATTACAAAATATTGATAGCATTGATTACGTCTACATGATTACTCCGTTTTGCCAATATTATGGGATATCTTGATAATTGTGTTTTTCCTCCTCATCTCACTTCGAATTTTTCGATCCCAACCAGGTGGACATGTGGACAACAGTGTTCGGCTAATATCACCTGATGGTGCAAAAACCATGGAGATAGCTCGAGGTCATTCAGCACCTGTGACATGTATGTCTCTCTCACCCGATAGCAACTATCTCGTGACTGGTTCCCGAGACACAATGGTTCTAGTCTGGAGGATACATCAATCAGCCACTCCTCAAACAAGCAGCATATCGGAATTTCCCTCTAACGCAGGAACACCAACTTCAGCTGGCACTAATACTATAAATAGCTTGCCGGATAAGAATCGGAAACGACGAATTGAGGGTCCCATACAGGTTATCCGGGGCCATTTTGGAGAAGTTTTGAGCTGTTGTGTTGATTCAGATCTTGGAGTTGTTGCTTCGTGCTCTGAATCTTCAGACGTTTTGCTTCATTCAGTGAGCAGGGGTAGATTGCTCAGAAGGCTTGATGGTGTAAAGGCACATATGGTCTGCCTTTCACCGGGTGGTGTCGTGATTACTTATAATCGGTCGTTGTACACTCTCTCGACTCATACGCTTAACGGGATGTTGATTTCTCGAGCACATCTTTCATTCTCGTCTACCGTAAGTTGCATGGAGGTTTCTTCAGATGGACGAAGTCTCTTGATTGGACTGAATTCGTGTTCAGAAAACAACGATGTCAGCAGAATGAAGTCCAAAACGCAAGAAACTGAAGGCGGTGAGCCTGAATCGAAAGAAAATGAGGAAATGGAAAGATTGGATATTTCATCTCCTTCGATCTGCTTCCTTGATCTGCACACTCTTAAGGTATTCATTTACAAGTTATAATCTGATGAAATCAAAAAACACTAGATTTCAAGTTCAAAATTGATAGGAATCTTGCGAACTTCTTCAGAAAAAGAAAAAGTCTCCAAGTATATTTCACCTTACACGTTATTCATCATACACAAACACTGATGTTGGTGTTATAATATGAAGCGTAATATGTTTGACCTAAGTTTCATTTCTTTATTGGAAAGAAAGGAAAACGACATAATTGGGATCTTTGATTATATTTTCACTCCCATATTATTGTGTCATAAGGGTGTGTTTGGTATGCAGAACAGGACAAAACAGAACAAAAACTTGTCATCCCACATCTGGTGCAATATTAGATTGAGTTTTTGTCCCATCAAAATAGGTGGAACAAAAATCAAAGATTGATAAATTACTAAACCACCCTTAGGGTCCGTTTGTTAGCAACTTAATGCAACTCATAGCTTATTTGGTCACTATTTGATGGTGGCTTAATGTTATAGAAAGTGGCTTATTCCGTAAGCTTTTAGGAGAGAGCTTTATGCAGAAAGCCAAGTTTGTTACAAACCTGCCCATCCCAATTGAAAAATACGCTCCTTCCATCTATGAAAAAACCCTCCAAACAAAAACCTTCCCAATCTATACAGACATATTAATCCACACAGACAGCTTTATCCATATAGGACTTGATGTAAAACCAGGCAAACAGCCCCTTAAAACCCTAAAATCTTGCACAATTCTTTCACCGTTTCAATCTTGTATGCGTACCAAACGCATCCTTACAGGGTTTACAGAACAACTCCTATCATTTTATGAACGATTATCGACTTTTTGAACCTTTGAACTTGGCTTTTTTTTGCAAACTAATTTTTGTGTGAAACCGCCTGAAAAACACTATTGTTCGGAGGAAAGGACGAGTATGGAAAAATTGTGAAATGTCAACCGTTCTTTTACACAAATGACTCACGGAATCAGTTTTTGTGTATCTATTTGCTAACACGCATATACACTCCGACAGGTATTTCACACATTGGAACTGAAAGAAGGCCAAGATATAACAACACTTGCAATGAACAAGGACAACACAAATCTCTTGGTTTCAACAGCTGACAAACAATTGATTGTGTTCACCGATCCTGCTGTAAGTTGACTAAACTATCCTTTTAGCTCAGTTAGTTATTCTCTAGTCCTATTTTCAAGCCACGACACTTTTTTTGCTTAGGACATGCATTATATGTTCTTTTCTTGTTGATTCAGCTTTTCAAGATATTAGTGAACTAAAACCAGGATTCTGAAAGGCAGGCCATGGCGTAAAACGCATCTCCGCCGCCACGATAAGGTCTATACCATTTGTGTAAGGCATAGCTCACGCCATGGCTCGCCGTGGTGTGCATTATGTCGTGGCTTTTTTCAAGAAAAAAATATTTTTTTTAAAATTAAAATTATTTTCTTTTTTGGCTTTTGTGTTTTTACACTTTCAACTCTAGGTTTTACACTTTACAGATTTACCTAATCAAATAACTCATAGTTTCATGGATTCACACACACACGCACGTTACTGACTTGCTGAGTTGTAAACCTTTGCAAATTCTATTTTGAATCTTTGCTCATCGAGTTTTTATTCCATATCTATATATATATATATATATATATAGAGAGAGAGAGAGAGAGGTGAGTTATTATGCAACCCTTTACATTTGTACAACCAATACAACTCAATCTCAACCGTCCATTTAATTTGATGAATGTGATTTCATAAAAGTTTAGATTGTTTTCTAATATAAAGTATTGATCATAATTAATGAACCCTAGTCATCTTCCATAAATATTCAAATCATAATAAATGAACTCTCATCATTTCCATAAATATCTCAATCGATTGGGTTGCATTGGTTGAACAAATGTGATGGGTTGCATTTGATACGTCCTCTCTCTCTCTCTCTCTCTCTCTCTGTCTCTCTCTCTCTCTCTCTATATATATATATATATATAGCCAAAGGTTATTTTGAGATAAGTAAATATTTGAGAAGTAAAGAAGTGATTCTGGCCCTTTATACGGTCAAGATCGGATTTGACTGGTCAATAATTGCGGTTATACGAAAAATAGAGAGGGTAGTTTCGTAACTTTTACAAATAGGTGGCAAACGGGTTCATATGTGAACCTATGTTATTCACATATGAACTATATGTTCATATGTGAACCGTGTAATTCACATATTAACTATTTTAACTGATTCACATATGAACCTGTGTGATTCACATATGAATTAATTAACTGATTCATATATGAAGCTGTGGGTTCATATATAAATCATTTAAATAGTTCACATGTGAACTAATTAACGGGTTCACATATGAACATATAGTTCATATGTGTATCATATGGGTTCGGATATGAACCTGTTTGTCGCCTATTTATAAAAGTTACGAAACTACCCCTCTATCTTCTGCATACCCATGCGAGGCCGGTGCTTCACGGTCAAAGCCGCAAACGTTGACCAGATGAAGAGCTAGGATCACTTCTTTACTTCTCAAATATTTACCACTTCTCAGATGAACCTTTCCATATATATATAGAGAGAGAGAGGGGGGGAGGAAGGCTCAAACGAGAACGCTAGTTATTGAAGAAAACTAGAAAATGTCGTTAATGTACAAATCACATGTGATTTTACATTAACATCAAAAAAATGGTAGTGGACAACTTTTGAACCTGTATGATCTTGTACGTGAATATATATATATATATATATATATATGTGTGTGTGTGTGTGAATCATGTATGATTTTGCACGTGAATCATCTATGATTTTGCACGTTAATCATATATGATTTTGTACATTAACGACTTTCTCTTGTTTTCTTAAATAGTTAGCGTTCTCGTTTGAACCTATATATATATATAGACTTGGGATCATGTGAGACCAGCCTGTTTTCGTGAGACCAACTTTTTACACTTGAAACTTCACAGCAAAATGCTGTGAAGGTAACCTTCACAGTGTTTTTGCTGTGAAGGTTTGACTTTTTTTAACCTTCACAGTGTTTTTGCTATGAAGTTTCAAGTGTAAAAATGTGGTCTCACGGGTCTCACGAAAACAAGCTGGTCTCACGTGAACCTAACCCTATATATATAGGGGTGGGTTCAAATAAAAACCACTCGAATTTGTAAAAACCGTGAAAACCTCATTCAACCAATCATTTTGTTCATTTTTTTGTAATTATGAGAGGTTGATTAACCATTTTTATTGTGGAGGGTGTTAATCATGGATATTATCATCTTTATTATTTTAATTTTAGAGAAATACATGAAACAGTTTCATTAAAATTTCATTAAATAGTATATGAAACAATTTCATAACCACATATGAAACTTCATCAAAAAAAGTATTATATGAAACAATTTCACAAGATTAACAATTTCATGAAAAAATTTCATAAGATTAACGATGGATGAAAGTAGTTTTTACGGTTTTTACAAATTGGAGTGGTTTTCATTTGATCGCTCCTATATATATATATATATATATATATAGAGAGAGAGAGAGAGAGAGAGAGGAGCGATCAAATAAAAACCGTACTCATTTGTAAAAACCGTACAAACCACCTTCATACGTCGATTTCATTGTTTAATCTTATGAAATTTTTTCATGATATTGTTTAATCTTGTGAAATTGTTTCATATAATACTTTTTTTGATGAATTTGTTTCATATATGGTTATGAAATTGTTTCATATAATATTTAATGAAACTGTTTCATGTATTTCTCTAAAATTAAAATAATGAAGATGATAATATCCATGATTAACACCCTCCACAATAAAAATGGTTAATCAACCTCTCATAATTACAAAAAAAATGAACAAAATGAAAAATTATGATTGGTTGAATAAGGTTTTCACGGTTTTTACAAATTGAGTGGTTTTTATTTGAACGCTCCCCTATATATTTATATATATTTGATTTTTCTTCTTCTAAAAAAAGGTAAATTGTTTAATATCATTATCTCATATAATAATAAATACACACACATATTTAACATAAAAATTTACGGTCTTATGTCACGCCTTGAAAAGCCTTCTAGGTAGGTTCAAACAAATAGATACTTGTACTTTAACCAAATATGAACAAAGAACCCTTGCTATCATGTGGGAAGGGGCACTAATAAAGTATTATTTCCTCGAGCCTAAAATAAATATCCACCTTTCTATTTTAGTCTGTCCCATAAATGTCCATTTTAAAAAAAATAAGTGCCTATTTTCCAATTCTACCATCAATTAGGAGATGGAAAAATTGGTCAGTCACTCTATTATTAAGGGTAAAATTGTCATTGAGTTAATTTGAAAAGTGTAATAATTACATATTTCTAAAACTGTATGCATTTTTCATTATGGAACATATATTTTGGGATGGTGGAGTATATCAATAAACCATACACTAAACAACTTACATTTATAGTAAACCAAAGGAAGCAAATAACCAACCCAGTATATCTCTCTCAGAAGTAACGTCCATGGGGTGGCAGACCTTTCCTCTATCCCAAAGAGTAGAGACCGTTTCCGATGTGAAAATTTGGATATTTACTACTAAAAACTTGCCCATTGATGGCATACCATCTTTGACGCTTCAAGATAACATGGTCAAGCTTTTGTGTCATCCGGATATGGTCTCGGTTCATTAATGTGATTTTGACAACTAGTCCCTCTGTCCGAAAATGAGTATCCACATTTCTATTTTAGTTTGTCCCAAAATAAATATCCACCGTCCAAATTAAGTACCTACTTTCCAATTTTACCCTAATAATGAGATGGAGAAATTCATAACTCCCTGAGGGTAAATTTGTCATTTAGTTAATTAAAAATGTAATAAATACACAATTCAAATCCATATCTTTTTCATTGTGGACATTTATTTTGGGACGTAGGGAGTATTTGAGTACTAATGTGTATGTTCAAGACTCGTCGTTATTTTTACTATAAGATCATGTAGTGTTGACTTTCTTTGACTTATGTCACTTCTTATAGCTGAGCTTGAAGGTGGTAGATCAGATGCTCAAGCTTGGTTGGGAAGGTGATGGGCTTAGTCCGTTCATGAAATAAAAACCTTGGCTCCGTCTTCGTGGTTCGGACCTCGTTGACCATGAGTCGAGTCAACAAGAGAAAAGACATTTTTTCAACGATTTCTTTTGTGGATGGGACCTGAGGCTGAGACACAGATTCAATTAGCAGGTGTTCTTGTGGTGTAACATATGTTTTTCTTCAGGTAGGAACAACTTTCGTATATATGAACTATACATCGATTGCAAGATATTAGATGTAAAATAGACGGTGAGTTATGCGGAATTCAGACTTTGGTGTTGTAAATTGTTGCCACCATGGAAGTGGCATTTGAGTTTTTGCACATTTTGCTCCAACTTTTGGAGGAGGTAAGAGGGTTTTACTGTGGTGGTTGACTGGTTGTGGGTGGTGGTGGACTGGCTGTGGGTGGTGGTGATGATACTTCGATTAGTTGATAATAATATTTGTGTTTTTTTATGTAAAACTAGATGCATTTGTGGAAGAAAGCTGAAATTCATTCAGTCTCTTGGCTTCAAACTTTGTTAAATGGAAGCAGTACGGCATTTGACTACGTCAGGGACCGATCAGGTTTGACCGGTCCTTGGTTTTGGTTTTGGTTTGAGCTGATATCTGTTTGTGTCGATCTTTTGTTTTAAAGGACAGTTGAGTGGGTATGTTGCTGCCCACCGATAAAGGTATGGGCGGGGTGTAATTAGAGATGGAAATGGGTCGGATAGGTGAGAAGCATAAGAAGGGATCTTTACCATTAGATGCACGTTAGGATGAGATACATGGAATTAATCCCTGTATCAAGCGTGATTAAGGGGTGGATTTGATATTAAAGGTGATCAATAGTCCAGATTCATTCTTACGCTTCTCAGCTTAACTCGTTTTCTTACACAATCTTTTGTTTGCACCCCCGACCCCATTTTTTGTCCCTCAACCTCGTTCTGCCTAATCCTTGACGGGTTCATGGTGGAAATCCCCGACAATTGTGGAGCTTATTAGGTACCCATTTAGGACAAATGAGTTTACTTTTTAAAACGAACAAATAAACCTTAAGTTTGTTTTATTTATGGTTTCAATTTTCTTACTGATTTCATCTTTGCGTCGAACGCTATTTAACTTTGTCTATTAAGTGAAACTGGTTCATGCACGTAGTAACATCTTTGTGGGGTTTTAACTTTTCACTTATAACTTGGATCGAGATTTGCTTTCAAGTTCCTTATTTTTTTTTAAGATCTACATACCGGAAATGGTCGGTGACTTATCGAACAAGCCCCAGGTTTTTCGATTATGAGTTGTGTATGCATGTACTAACATCTTTTTTTTATTATTATATACTTCATATATTCCAACACTCCTAACTTTTATTGAGGTTTAAGCTCTGGACCTCGTAGAGGCTTCCGAAGACTATTGGGTCAGCTACCCTTTGGTATTTTGTAACATCTGCATCGTTTTCACAATTTTTTATTTGGATTGAGATAATTTTTTGCAAATTGCTTCTTTTTTTGAGATCTGTTTGCTGACAAAATTTGATGATTTACTGAAGAAGCATCAAAAACTAATCGTATTTTATCAAATACGATTCTTAGAGCATCCACAACAGAGGTTCTTGTTGGGTTTTAAAAGAACCTCCATTATGAGACAGAGGTTCTTGTCCAATCGAATGTTTTTATTAGAACTCAAATGTTTAAACAAAAATCAGGGTTCATGTATATATTCCTTTTATGTTGTTTTTTATTTATTATTTTTATTGTTTCTTAATCATTTCTATTTTCTTTTAGTAAATCTACAAAGCATAAGTTAAAAATAATACAAAAAAGTATATAAATTAATTATTATATATATTGTTTTCTAATTTTGTTTT